CAAGCACTTACTCTTTACTGAGGGGATGGCATAAGCCATTCATGGGGGAATCCATCTCCATGACCCAAACGCCTCCCAGTAGACCCTGCCTCCAACATTAGGGATCACTTTTCAACATGAGATTTGGAGGGAGCAGACAGTTGAAGTATACATAATGAGATATATAAAAAGCATTTAGCCTAGAATTTGGCATGTGGTAAGAACTCAGGAAATGTCACTTACTTGATACTTTATCTTTTTACTTCTCTCAAAGTACTGAACATCATTATTAATCCTATTTTTACTCCTAATTTCCATTTTGTTCTAATTTAATACCCTAATTTAAAGTAGTATTAGTCTTAATTACATAAAGGAGTCAGTTTCAAGGAGTTTAAGATATTTGTTCAGGTTCACACAGTTACAGAAACTGGAATTTGCATTTAGATTTTTTTGGCTTAGACTTTCTATTCAATGAGATGCTTCTGGTAGTCTGTTTTGCATTGCTGTAAAGAAATACCCGAGACTGGGTAATTTATATAAAAAAGAGGTTTATTTGGCTCATAGTTCCACTGGTTGTACAAGCATAGCACCAGCATCTGCTTGGCTTGTGGTGAGGCCTCAGGAAGCTTCTATTCATGGCAGAAGGAGAAAGGGGAGCGGGAATGTCACACAGCAAGAGAAGGAGCAAGAGAGAGAGGAGGAAGTGGCAGTCTGTTTAACCAACTATCTCTTGCACGGACAAAAAGAGTGAGTACTCACTCATTACAACAGGGAGGGCATCCAGCCATTCATGAGGGATCTGCCCCTATGACCTAAATGCCTTCTACTAGGCCCCACCTCCAACAGTGGGGCTCAAATTTCAACATGTGATTTGGAAGGTACAGACATCCAAGCCATATCAAGTGCCATAAGAGAATAACAGATCAAATGACAAGAAAATTTAAAAGACAGGGAGATTATCAAAAATGAACTTAAAAGGCATTTTAAATAATAGGATTTGGAAACACAGAAATTTTGCAAGGGTAGAAGAGTGGTGATTGGGAAGAGGCGTTTCAAATTTAGAAAACTTGTTGGTCAAAGCATCAGAGACAGAAAGGCACAGGCCCCCACAGGAGAGCTCAGCACACAGGAGTGGGAACAAGGGTGCAGACCCAGGCACCAGATGAGGTCCCCAGGGCAGCACACAGGGAGGAAGGGAAGCAGTTCTAGGAAACTCTGGGCACACATAAGAAGAGGAATGCTAATGGACATGGAGATGGAGCAGTGAAGGATGAAGGGGAGACTCTGAGGAGTGGGAGCTAGAGGAAGCCTGGGAGGAACTTTCCTAGAAAGCTCCAATCAGATGAGCCCAAGTGGTATAGGAGGCCAGGTGTGGTGGCTCATGCCTGTAATCCCAGCACTTTGGGAGGCTGAGGTGGGTGGATCACCTGCGGTCAGGAGTTTGAGATCAGCCTGGCCAACATGGTGAAAACCTGTGTCCACTAAACATACAAAAAGTAGCCGGGGAGCTAGGACAGCCTGTGGAATATTTAAGAGATGGCAAGAAATTGTATGCTTGTTTAACTGCAAACAATAGGCTTTTGTAGGTTTTCTTCTTTTATTTGCTCCAAACAAATTTTAATTTTGAATATTTTTTCCCCTCTAAATTGTGTCTGTCCCTCCCATCCACCTGAAAAGTCTGACCTGCTTCCTGAGGGAGGTTGTCCTTATGTGACCACGTGGTGGCCCCCTCATTAACTCAGAGAACACAACAGTGAGAACGATGAACAAGGGGAAAACAGGGTGGTACACAGGGAGCTGGGAGCAATAGGAGTGAGAAGAGCCCAGGAAAGATGTCCAAATGGGAAGGGGCAGTCCAAAATCCCAATGAGGATGAGAACTGAGGACAGGCCCCATGTGTCTTTGCCTTGAGTGTACACATCTTTGGGGTATAGGTTGGAAATGCAAAGCAAACCAATCAAGGGGTGTTTATTGCCTGCCACAATGATAGTCAGTTTGGGTGTAAGAGAAAGGAAAGGCCAAAATCCCTGTTTATACCTGAGCCTGGTACTTTTTATAGCTGGGAACTGTGATGAATGTGTTCCTGTATTGTACTCACGGTCCTTGCATGCCTAGGCAATGAAGAGTCAAGAATAATAAGGTCTGGATTTGGGGTTGAAGCTAGACAAACAGCTAAGGAAGAATGAATAGGAAGAATGAGCTGTCATGACAGTGCCACCTTGAATTTAGCTTCCTAATATCTCTAAGTGAGAACCAACATTTTTGTGCCTGATTTCTCAGGGCTAGTTTGTGGCTAGTAATTAGTTCATTGTCTAGTCTTCTTCACAGATGGCTTAGATTTTAGATAATAAGAACAGTGTAAGTAATCTTGTACTTCTTTCTACCTGCATTCTGTCTTTAGACTTCAGTGCTCCTTTGACCAAGTCAGTGTGGTGTTTAGTCTTACTTAGAGGACTAAAGGAATTTCTGCATCAGAGTTAAGAAGTACTAATAAGAAAGAATATGAAGAAATTATAGCGTCTGCCCCAACATTGTCTTTTTCTGCCTCTTCATAAAAAACCTGAATTCTCTTTATTCTGTGCTTTGTGGCTAAATGTGCTTCATTTTATAACCTGTATAGCACTTTACTGCTCCTTAATCCCAGCTAGATACAGTTTCTAAAGTAAGAATGCGTTTAACTCAGGGTTGGAACTTTTCCAAGTGGAGCAATGAAAAATGTCCTCTGTGATCTTGGTTGGGTTAATAAATAAACCCATCCCCAAAAGGAAAGAGAATTCAGGTTTTTCCTGTGAAGAGGTAGAAAAAGAATAAAATTGACTTTGTACTCAAAAAAGTAGCTTAAGCAGAAAGTCATTTGTTCTGTGGAATGAATAATGGTAGTTTGTTGTTCTTTCAGAGAACAAATGACAAACTTTGTCATTTCAAACCTGATTCTTTTTTGGCTGCCTACAATGCCATGAGCTCCTAGAACTAGGGACAGGAAGGCAGAACGCTGCCGATGGCCCTCACGCAGGCGGCACGTGCACCCCTTAAAGTGAGAAGACACTTCTTCAGCCTTGTTAGGTTCCTTAGTTTACCCAACACTCATTTAACTGTTTTCTCAACTTACTCCATAATTACAACCCATTTTCAGAAGGAAAGCAAGAAAGTTGTATTAGTCTATTCCCACACTGCTATAAAGGAATACCTGCAACTGAGGAATGTATACGGAAAAAGGTTTAATTGGCTCATGGTTCTGCAGGCTGTACAGGAAGCATAGCAGCTTCTGCTTCTGAGGAGGCCTCAGGAAACTTACAGTCATGGCTCAAGGCAAAGGGGGAGCCAGTACTTTACATGTCAGTGCAAAAGGAAGAGAGAGGAAGGGGAAGTGCCCCTCACTTTAAAACAACCAGGTCTCATAACTCACTCACTCACTATCACAAGAATAGCCCCAAGGGGACAGTGCTAACCCATTCATGAGAATCCACCCGGGTGATCCAGTCACCTCCCACCAACCCCCATCTCCAATGCTGGGGATTACAATTCAAGAAGAGATTTGGTGGGGACACAGAGCCAAACCATATCAAAAGTATATTCTAGCACTTATGTTTTGAAAGAATGACGACTATGGCCAGCATATGATGGCAGAGAGTTAAAGTGAAGACCCTCTCTCCCATCCCCTAGATAATCCTTTCCTTCTCCCTAAGGAGTGGAGAGGTGGAGAGTGAAGCGGGGCAGAAACTAAGTGCTCAATCTATTCTATCCCTTGGACATAGGGCTGTCAACTTTTCTCTGAGCCTCCAGTCCTGCCGGAAGGTACGGTGATGAGCTGGGCTTGCAGCATCTCCTCTGCAAGGCTTGCAGGTTCTCCAGCCTGACACAGAAGTGCCTGGGGTACACGCAGGAACCTCCTGAAGTAGATGGCACAATCCCATCCTCCAAACACCACCTCCTGCTTTTTATCACCTCTCAGAATATTCACAGGAAACCTTACTTAACAAACAAGCTCTTGCTCCAAACTGAAAAATGAAAGGAGAATTACATGCAGATCTGGCATCTAAGTAACTTTCCCATCAACTGTTCTGTAACTCTGAGATAGAATTAGACTTTTAGAATCCAAGTTTGAGTGGATCAGGATCCTAATCCTACCATAATTCCTTTTCTTACTCCTGCTTCCTTATTCTTTTGAGAATGAAAATATCAGGAGATCAACGGAAAAGTAATGTGAGCAAATACGGTCATTTGGATTCTCTAGGCTGAGAATTTATGGTCGAAATGTTGAATGAGATATAAATCTTTGTTGGGCGCACTTTGGGAGGCAGAGGTGGGTGGATCATCTGAGGTCAGGAGTTCAACACCAGCCTGCCCAACATGGTGAAACCCCATCTCTACTAAAAATACAAAAATTAGCCAAGCGTGGCAGCAGGTGCCTGTAATCCCAGCTACTCAGGAGGCTGAGGCAGGAAAATTGCTTTAATCCAGGAGGCAGAGGTTGTAGTGAGCTGAGATTGTGCTACTGAACTCCAGCCTGAGTGACAGTGAGACTATGTCTCCAAAAAAAAAGAAAGGGAACAACAACAACAGACACCGGGGCCTACATGGGGGAGGGGTGGGAGAAAGGTGAGGATCGAAAAACTACCTGTCGGATACTGTGTTCATTGCCTGGATGATGAAATAATCTGTACGCCAAATCCCTGTGACATGCCATTTACCCATGTAATAAGCCTGCACACATACCCCTGAAACTACTAGAAGTACCACATTAATAGTGTGCATCTCCTTCTTCCTGCCTTGCTACTTCACTTTTACTGTTCCATCTCTTAAAGAGGCACGTCAGGTAGAATATCAAAGTATTGAGTGTTTCCTCTGCTTGATTGTTGGATAGCCACTGGTACACGTACACATCTTCGTGTCTACATGGCAGACTTACGTAAGTCACAATATTGTTTCTGGTGGATGGAACATAGAGCTTATATGACTTATCTGCAGTCCCTATATTTTGTTTTGTTTTATTTTGTTAATTTTATTCATGTTTTGAATAGGTAATAGATGCACAAGGTACAAAATTCCCAAGGTGCAAGAGTTTACAGTGAAAAGTAAGTCTCCCTCCTCTTTGCCCCAGTAAATATAGTTCCCATCTTGAAAGGCAATCGCTGCTCTTTCATTCATTCCACATTTATTGAGCACCTACTATGTGCCAGGTTCTGTTCTGGGCAATGAAATGGAGCAAAACAGACAAGCCCTCCCTGCCCTCATGGAGCTTACATTTTGGTTACGAATTTCTTGTAATATTCATTCAATAGTAGCTTAACTTTTGTATAGCCAGCCCACTGTGTTAGTTAAAAGAAGGGCTCTAGAGTGACATCAAGTGATTTTGAATCACATTTTTTCTATATTCCAAGTAAACTTGGATTATTTATTCCACCACTCTCAACTGTGTTTTCTTTATTGTGAAATGGAAATAACAATTCTGTTTTATAAGATTGTGAGAATTAAATAAAATAATACGTATAAAACACCAAACATAGTAAATGCTCAATAAATATTAGTGTTGATTATGATAATATGATCTGATTCTACTGTTCTGTAATGCTGACCAGACATAAATGATTTATTTTCCCAATAGTTTTCATTTCCTTTCTTTTCTATATGATCAAAGAAAATCACTTTCTAAAGGATAAGCAACAGCAAATTTAAGTAATCTGATCATTAACCTCTTGGGCATTAGACTATTTGCTGAGTTCTATTAAGAAACCAACTTCTAATAAATCAGTAGAGTATAGAGACACTGTTTCTTTTTATTCTTTCTAATCTTTTTAACCTTGTGTAATTTGGAGGCTTGTACTATTAACTCATTTGGTCTGTACTATTAACTATTAATTTAAATTTTATGCTAGGAGATTCTGTATTTTACAGCAGAATTAAACACTTCTGAGCAAAGTTTCTAAGAATATAATTAGGTATCCTTATCTTAAGGAACTTTATGACTCAAGTCTCCAGCCAGATGGGAAAGTGGCAAAAGTTTTCCTTGGTGATGGTCTTAAGGTGGAAAGAGATTAGAAGAGAAGTACATCGGGTGGAGGAAGAAAAGAAGAGAGAAGAACTTCTAGGATAAGAAAACACTTTTAAATATTAGGCCAATAACTATTTACTTTATTTGACATGAAAAAGGGTCATTAGTGGGCATAATGAAAGATTGCAAGGATGCTGGGTTGGTATATTATACCATGTACTGGACCACTGACCTGGAATCTAAAAAGCAATGAAGGTACACACCTATTTGGACCACCACAGTCCTGATAATCGTTTAATGTACTTTCTTTCTCTCCTTTGTTCCTGTTTCTGTTTTGTATTGTTTTCCTGGCTGACAAAGTTTGTGGATCTTTGAATGGTTGGTTACGGTGTAGGGAATCTCTTCTTTCAGCCTAGTCATGATATAGGGAGGACTGGGAAGAGGAGATAGCTGAGTAGTTGAAGTAAAATGCCTCTGACCAGCTTTTATTCATTGGTTAATGGTGGGATCATGTAGATTTGGGGTGTTTTGTGTTCTTTTTAAAATAATTTCTGGGCTCTGATAATTTATTGACAGAAGTAGATTAACAATAAGAATGTCAGCATTCAAGATAAAAGTTTGAAAATGCATAAAATCAGTACTAAGTGAGTGAGGCCTTCTGCAGTGGCATTTGCCACTATACTCCTGGGCTTTGTGTATACACATCATTTAATGCCCTACAGAGCTAACTCTAATTTATCAGTGAGACGTCAGGCAACCAGAGTGCGATCTCTTTGGCTTGCCTTTGGACCTTGTCATTTCTCATTTTTGTTTTGGTTACCTATTACAAAGTAACAGCCCCCCTACAAACTCAGTGATTTAAGGTATTATTATCTCCCATGTTCCGTGAGTTAACTGGGGCTCAGCTGACTCTTGGGATCTTTTATGAGATTGCAGTCAGATAGCAGTTGAGGCAGAGGAACGTGACCAGATGTGCAAGATGGTGTCTTCATTTAAAGGCCTGACACCTCAGCTAGGATGGCAGGAAGAGCTGAGGATTGGCTGGGCATCTCTCTCTCTCTCTCTCTCTCTCTCTCTCTGGCTCTAAGCAGCCTCTCCATATGGCTGCCTTAAGCTTGTTTATAACATGGTGCTATCATCATAATCAGATTTCTTATACTGGGATTGGCTTCCCCCAAACGACTCTTTCAAGAGAGACTGGAGAAGTCTGCAAGGTTTCTTTGAACACAAATTTATTCATGCAGAATCACTTTGCCAAATTTTACTGTTCAGAGTTCCAGCCAGCTCAGATTCAAGTAGGGGTACTACACAAGGGAATGAATAGAAGGAGACGTAGTTCATTGGAGGTAGGGGTGAGGAGGGCATTTTAAAGACGAGCTACCAAAATCCTCTTTGCCAAAAAATAGTCAAATTCTTCTACAACACAACTATTACTCCACTGCACCAAATACTTCTAGGAAACATAAACCTACACAACTCCTTTTTCATAAGTGAAAATATGTGACTCTTGGTAACATATTTTTAAGCAAAATATATCTGACATAAAATGCATGTCATCTGTTAATAAAATTACCTTGGTTGGCTTATATACACCTGTTAGAAGCTGCCACTAGCCGAAATATCCTTGGATTATATAAACTTAACAAATAATACAATTCATCTCATTCCTTTCTAATCTTTGGTACAGTAGCATATTGTACTATCTAATAATGATAGAATGTTTTGTTTATTGAAAGGATTGGGAATGTACTTTGTTGTTATTGTTCATTCATTCATTCCATTAACAAATTTTGTGATTACCTAACACAGTGCCTGTCTTACTGTAAGTAATGGAGAACAGGGACACTTTGCTGCTGTGGTTGAATTGTGCCTTTACCAGTATAAATAGTAGCAATTTAAATGCTAACTATTTGAGTAAATGCATTCAGATATTTGGGCACTAGAAAAAGCTGTGCTACAGAATAATAGTAATAGTGCTGATTAAACCCTTACTTTGTGCATTATTTCATTTATATCTCCCCAGGAGGCCTTAGTGTAGAGGCAGACTCATTACCCCCAGTTTTATAGAGGTTGGAACTGTGACTCAGAGTAATTAAATGATATTTCAGAGGTCACCTAGTCAATGCATAGTACAGCTTGGATTTGAACCTAGAGCACCTACTGCGTGAAACAGCATTAAAATAATACAATTGCTGCCAGGCGTGGTGACTCACACCTATAATCCCAGCACTTTGGGAAGCCGAGGTAGGCGGATCACCTGAGATTGGGAGTTTGAAACCAGCCTGACCAACGTGGAGAAACCTTGTCTCTACTAAAAATACAAAAAATTAGCCAGTTGTGGTGGCGCATGCCTGTAATCCCAGCTACTTGGGAGGCTGAGGCAGGAGAATCACTTGAACCTGGGAGGTGGAGGTTGTGGCGAGCCGAGATCATGCCATTGCACTCTAGCCTGGGCAACAAGAGCAAAACTCTGTCTCCAAAAAAAAAAAAAAAAAAGAGAGAGAGAAAAAAAGAAAAAAAAACAAAACATTGCTTTTATTTCTAAATTCCACGTCTTTTAAGAAATATTCTCATCATTTTAAAATGGTAAGTGAATAATTACTTAATGTTATAAGGTTATTTTATTTTCATTAATCTTTGGCCAGATGTATTAACAACACCCACCCCTACTCCAGGCTTCTTTTGGTTTCACAGTGACCATTTCTGAAGTCTAAGAAGTATGGCTAAAGAATAATGGAAACTTACTTTCGTTGAAATTTTACTGTATACCAGTCATTTAGCTTAATATTTGAAAAGAGTGCTAAGTTGCTATGGCATGTAGATTTAAAAGATAAAAATAAAAATATGTTTATTATCAGTTGTGGATTCCAAGATTATTTATGGGAACTTCCATGGTACCTGGCCTAGGAAGAATATGGCTCCTAATTTAGGGGATCTCAGCAGCCAACGGGAGAGACTAAGCAGATGTCTCTGGCAATGCATTCTGATGAGGGACACCTAATGGTGAGTAGAAGGTGGATGGGCTTCTAGAAAGAGTCAAAGATTAGAGAAATTCATCTGGTTAAAAAACATGGAGAAAGGTTCCATCAAGAGAATACACCCTGGTAACGGCTCAATGTATAAAGAGTTTAAGGACTTCTAGGGACTGAAAAAATTATGCATAACAGGAGGGAAGGTAGGTGTGGAAGAATAGCCCAGAAGGAAAAATAGCCAAGAAGTCAATGGAAGGAACATTGCATCCTAGGCCTTGCTGAGAAATTGGAATGAATGAGTCTTTGAATAAGGCTTTGCTAAGTACTGTAGTTTGGATTCTAAATGCAGACATGAAAAGCCGATGAACATTCAGACATTTCTCTTTAAGCAAGACTTCCCCTTCTGTTCTTTTAAAAGTTGGAAATTATTCTCTGCTTGGGAATAGTTTTCACTATGTTCCAGACATTATAAATGGCTTCCTTTATATTTCTGTGTATTTATGATGTTGATGACAGCCAGGCTGATCAGAGTAAAACATCAGGCATCATAGCATCCTAATATTTTTATGAATCATGCATTTATTCATTTATTTATGCATCTATCCAGGGAAAACAGATTTGTTCCCCACTTTATCAGTTCTACAGATTCAGATTCCTGTATATTTAGATAACATTCCAAGGGAATAAATGTGCTCTTAGAAAGGAGTGCTTACTTCAGCAAGGCAGTTTCTAAACCCTTTACTTTCTAGCCCAATTCTCCAGCTGTTCTGGAAAAAAAAAAAAAAAAAAAAAAAAGCAATTGAAATGGCCTCTCCAGTGTACCCAGATGGAAGATGGGGAAGTCCTGCTAGTTTTTTCCTCCACTGCCAACATAAACAGGGTGGAGCAGCTGAGAAGGAAGGCCACTAGTGGAGAGAGAAAGAAACAGTGTAACAGCCAAATGACAGACCTCCTCAGCCCTGCCTCCTACCTGGGGCAACAAAGACCTCTCCAGCCAACCCCAATTCTCCCTTTGCTTTGCACTCCGTCCAGGGACCTGCGACCTCTCGAGAGAGCACCGGTGAATCACATAGTTGAAAGAACTTGGTCCAAAAATAAAACAGAACACCCAGTTGCTTTTTCCAACTTGTCTCACTTCTGCTCCCTTCTTCAAACTCTTGATAAAAAGCAGCAGCAATTAGTGTATTGCAAAGCGCTTCTTGGAGAGTTATGGGAAGCACCGCTGCTTTCCTCGGCCCTGGTTTCACAACCTCAACTCAAGGGCAGGCCCTCCCTCTCTCTTTTTCCCCTCCTTCCACCTGACAGGGACCATAAATAACTGAGGCTTCCAGTGTTCCCAGCTGAGAACAAAGTTGAAAGTTTGCCTGGAGCACTCGGTGCCACTCCCCGCCTGGGCCACTGCTTTGTTTTCTTCTAATGTTTTTCTTCTACCTGGGTTGGCTGTTTCTTCATTCATATTTGAGAAGAGTCGCCTCCTAATTAAATGTAGCACTTCGCTCTCTCACTACCCGAAGGCTGTCTCGGTTACCCGGCTAGGCACCGAACCTTGGTATCAAATTACCGAAAGTCTACACCGGAGCAGTCCTCATATTTACATACAAATAACTCAGGGGCTTGCATTTATGTCACCATTCTGTCCTGCTAGAGGCTTGCCAGAGGAGTTTTTAATCCAATCAGGAGGAGCTTTAAAAGGATGTCTGCGGAGTGATCAAAAGGATCTTGATCTCAATTAAGTGGGTTTTTTTTTTTAAAAAAAGAAAGATTTTTTGGGGGGCCTGAAATTTTGAAAAATCTTCGAATTCCGAGCGGGAAAAGATGTGTATTTCCTCAGTTGCCTACGAGGATATCCAGATGCTGAGAGGAATTCGGCGGTGGTGAAGACAGTGGATACAAACCAGGGATTAGTTTGCTTGAGCTGGTCTGGAGGTTGACTCTAAATCACTGCCTAAGGAATTCCTGGAAACATCAGGAAAACATTTGATCATCCAAGCCTAGTGGAAATGGCTTTGCCGCAGAGTAAGATCTTTGAGTTGTACTTACCTTGTGCTGTTTTTGTTTGAGATACAGTGAATGTGCAAATAGCCCAGCCGTAAATAGTTACTTAAAATAATCTCTTAGTACTGGGTAGCAGGAGTAGAAAGTTGATCTGTTTAGTTTTTACATTTGCAAAAATAGTAGTTGACAGTGTATTTTTAGACTTGATTGGTAGTTTAAAAGCTGAGCTCTTGTGGTTTCCTGAGTTTAAATGAATGGAAATTGTAAACAGTACCTAATGTAGGAATTGGAAAATATAGCTGGGCGAATGAATCACTTACCTTTGAGAAAACACAACATGGACCCTTCTGAAAACTCTTTGGCCAGTAAAGCTTGTGTCCAGAAAGAAGTTAAGAGTCATAAGAAACAGAGTTTGCCTGGTAGGGAAGGAACTTTTCTACAGCCTGTGCTACCTTTTGAGAAGGATGGGAAATGTCCCAGAGGGCAAAATACAATTAAAAAAAAACCTGCCTTGTCACTCGTGGAATGTGGTTTTTCCGTGTGAGGTCATGTTATGCACACATAGCCAGTAAAAGTATTTTACATAATTAACTCTTTGTATTGATAGTGAAAGAGCAATTTATATAGTCCTTTGAAAGTAATAAAGCACCCGTATTATCTCTGGAGAAGGCTGTGTTGCTTTCCATGTAGATTTGAAGCACTGGGACAGTTGGGCTGTTGTTAATTTGATAGGTTTAGAAACAGTTTAAAATTGATGTGTTCTAAGGCTCTCCAACCAAGCAAACTGTAGTTCACATAACTTGCTAGTTTCTTACATAAGCGCCAAACTGAAATCCTGTGTGTGAGAAAACTGTTTTTAAAAATTGTCTGTTTCCTTCCTACATATAATTTCAAGAACAGTAATGAAGAGGGGGTTCTTATTTTGCCATCCATGTCCATTCAAACAAGCTGCCCTCATCGTGGGTGAGGTGAGGTGAGGAAACCTCTAACTGACATAAAACATCCACCTTTCTAGTCAGTCGAGGCTTAAGGGGAAGCAAAGGGATAAGGGTAAAGTTTTAAGATTCATACTTAATACCAGGAGGTGTTTCCACTACTTAAATTCACTCTTGAAACTGTACTAACCTTTACCTAAGACTTTTCCTTCTAAATTATCCAGGGGATAGGGGAAAGTGAATAATGGGGGATTTGCTAATAACCAAAGGAGTGGTTTTCTCCACAGCTGACACAGTCAAAAGAAAAGCTTTTGATGTGGGCTTGCTCTCTACATCTACAGGTGAAGATGCAATGACGGGGGATACAGACAAGTATCTTGGGCCACAGGACCTTAAGGAACTGGGTGATGATTCCCTGCCTGCAGAGGGTTACATGGGCTTTAGTCTCGGAGCACGTTCTGCCAGGTACTTCATTGTTGCTGTCTTTCATAGTTAATTTAAAACAACCACGATTTGTCATAAATCAAAATCATGTTCATTTTTCACATTATCCCAAAATGTGTTCTTTGGATGAAGATGTGAATTTAGTGAAATGTTCTCAACACAAATACACATGCTCTGCTATTTTCCTTTGTTGTTTGCAGTTGTTAATTTCATGTGATTGAACATGTTAATTGTGTGTTCTTTTTTCCCCACTTTGCAGTCATGCTTCCTGCACAGTAGCAAAAGAGCTCACTGACAAAACTGGGAGAACCAATCTGAGTCACATATTTCAAAATTAAGTTTTGTTCCATACTGAAAAAAAATATTATTTGCCAATAAGTAAGAAATATGTGTGTAGATTGTTCATTATTCTCTCTTTGTTACTGAAATAATCATTTATGATTAAAAGAGAGCATTTTTGAAAAAATAATATATTGTTTATTATACTCAAGTGTTTGAGTATGTCTTCTAAAACTGTTCCATTATTTTGTTTACAAGGGACATGTTAGAAGTATGACAGTGATTTATCTAAAGTCACAGACAGGAATGGTGACAAATTCAGTTCTTACAACTGAAGTGGAAAACTTTTGTATGGGAAAACCTTGACTTAAACTTTACTGACACTGGTTGAAAGAAACAGAACCTTGTGCAGAATTTGGAGACTTCTTTGCCCTAGTGTGGATTAACAGGGTGTTTGCTGACAGTCAAGTTATTTTAAAGCTAATAATTAAACCTTCTAAGCCAGAGCCCTGAGGACATTTTCCTATAGTTTAAGGATCTGTTGTAAAAAGTTTCATTGTCTAATAATGGCACTTCCTGCAAAGTAAACCCTGGAGTTTATTCTCATTGTAGTTGGTATGGCCACTATGAATACTGTATTGATTTTTCTTCTATTTTTTTTCTAGTAGAAATTAGAAACTCATATAGCTTAATAAAACTTTTACCTTATAAATAAATTTATAAAAGGCCTTAAAATCCTACTGTAGCAGGTGTCATTAACAGGAAGAGGAAAAGTAACTTTTAAAAGACATGCAAAATTTTAGGTGATCAAAGATAGCAACAAGTTAAAATGGAAAATATGTAGAACTTTTAAGGTTCTTGAGATCCTTTAGATCTTGTTTGTATCATAGAGATTTATAGCTTTTGAAATCCAATCATTAGCTTGCCTTCTCTTCTGATAATACATGACACATTTTGTGATCCATCATTTTTATGTAGAAAACTGTAGCAGCTGACCTCCAGTGACACAGGAAACCAGAATATCGCCCTGAATATCACCCTGTAATTTTTTTCTTAAGATAATTCCAAGGCTTTCACACTTCTAATTTTGATTATACCATTATTTGTTGCTATTATCTGTAACTCATTTTTTTTTTACTTTGATGACTCATGTTATGCTCAGAGGCAAATTTTTTTAAAAATCTATAAAGCCAATATTTTTAAGCACATTGTTAGAGTATTGTCAAGTAAAATATATTCTGAGTGTAACATTTTAAAAGGAATACATTAAATGTGTAACTCATTCAACCATAACATTTTTTTTCTTTTTTCCCTGTCTGATTTTTTGCTTTCTATTTCTTCTGTTTTTTTTCTAATACTTTAAAATAGTCCCAAGATCAGGTAAGAAGACATGGCACTTTTTTAGTGTTTCTCTTCCCTTTCCTGGCTCATGTTCTCATTTTCTTTTCCTTAGCATTGTAATGTGATGTGATGTGCTGTGATGTGCTGCAATGTGCTTTTTTTTTTTTTTCTGCTCAGCTTTAGAAAAAATCAGGAAAAATTTCATGATTTTAAGAAAATTAGAAACTGAATATATAATAAATATTACTTACGCAAAACTGACCAAATACTTAAGGAATTTCTTTCCCTTAACAAGTTTTTTTTTTTTTATAATGCATGAAGTAATTAAAGAAATTTCATTGAGTTTGAAGAAAAAGTCCTGATGTGAAGGGCCGTTTGTTTGCTGGTTGCTGTTTTAAGTTGTGCTAGGTATATTAGTATAAATTTAGAATTCTGAGGCATGTTTTCCTAATACTTCCCATGTTTAACACTTAGAGTGTACTGATGGCTACAAATAAGATAGATGGCCTTAGTTAAAAATGATTTAATGCTTTCTAAATCCCAATGTAAATAATCTTTAATTTTAAGCTGAAAGTACTTAGAAGTATTAAGGATTCAGAGTGAAGCTTGATGGATTTAATTGACTCCATATGTCTAATTTAAATTGGCCTGGAATGATCACAAGTAGGAACTTTAGACATTATGCAAAATGAAGACATCCTTAGGCCTTTTGTTTGATAGCTCCCAGCTCTGGGCTCTGTTCTGCAGTTGGCACTCATAGATAAATTAAAAGAAGGTGGAGATGTTTCACTGTGTTGGCCAGGATGGTCTCTATTTCTTGACCTCATGATCTACCCGCCTCGGCCCCAAAAGTGCTGGGATTACAGGCCCCATCTCTACTAAAATATAAAAATTAGCTGGGCGTGGTGGTACGGGCTGGCACGTCTGTAGTCCCAGCTACTCGGGAGGCTGAGGCAAGAGAATTGCTTGAACCCGGGGAGGCAGAGGTTGCTGTGAGCCGAGATAGCGCCACTGCACTCCAGCCTGGTGCCTGGTGACAGGGCGAGACTCTATCTCAAAAAAAAAAAAAAAAGGAGGAGATGTTAGATGTTTAAAAGTATCAGCAGATTTTAAAGGCATTTAAAAATTGAAATTAAAATGAATAGGCGTTATTTTTTAAAACTTTTAAGTGTTTGTCCACATAGAACACTGTTTCATACACCATCGATGTTAACATATCATGCTACGAGGACCATAATTTGAAGAAATGAATGTCCAATGCAAAGAGTGGCCAGCAACTTTCAAATCACGCCACTGGAGCAAAATGTAACATTGTTGTGAATACTTAGAAGCTACACTAATAGTGTAGCCACTAGCCACTTATAGTTACTTAAATTAAAACTTGTTAAATTCAGTTGTTCATTCACACCAGCCACTCTTCAAGTGCCCAGTAGCCACTGTTAATTGGACAGCTCAGATTTAGCACATCCCCTTCACAGTAGAAAGTTCTGTTGGACAGTGTTGAGTTAGAGAATTCCTGCTCTTAGGAAGCTTCTACTGTATTTGAGGGAAGGTAAGAGACTAGAAAACAGGAATAACAGAAAGGCTTGCAACTGAAACCGGGAAAAAAAGAGTAATGGGTCCCCTGATTGGGCACAGAGGGCCTGACCGTGCAAGTGATCAGAGTCATGTGCCTTACTAGATAAGTTCCTCTGTGCAAGGATAATGCTTATAATAGTCTTTTAGTAAGTTTTGCTGAATAGACTAAATAATGACTCTGTAGAATGATGGTTGTGTGGGGATAAGAGAGGTCCCTCTGAGATTCTGGTGAAAGTGAAGGCTCCAATCCTAGAAGAATGTGCTTACCTATCTGTGTAGACTCTTAGAATGATGCCTCTAATATCAGGAGGCTCTGCATCTTGGTAAAAGGATACTCACTTTCTAGTTATCTTTAGTATAGCAGGCAGTGGGGAACATAAATTGTTTTATGCAAAGAATCATTTTTTATTTACCTCTTATTTATATCTTCTTTATCCATTTCCCCATCAAGCACACAAAAGGCAAGGCCAAAGCCAAAGTCTCACGAGTTCAACTGGTAAAGATTCAAGAAGCCACTTTTAGATCCAGATGTTTTTTTTTTTTTACCATATAGGCAGTGAAAGGAGGAAGTGAAAGGTGCTGGCTTCTCATTATCCTTGTCCCCTACACCTAAAAGGACACCAAAACAAAAGGGGCTGAATGTCTACAATGCTAGCTGTGGATATCTCATTGCTGAGAAGCCAATTCTAGACTTTAGCTAAATGGTTTATATTCACTCTATTCCAAGGAGGGCAGAATAGGAAGCCTCCCACATCATTAGAAAGAGAAAGTGATAGAAGCTATTGCATGACAGCCTCCCACGTGAGACGGGGAGGTGACTTGCAGATGATCTCATGGAAGCTCCTCACCAACCTCCATCCTCTGAGTTCCTGGAAGATCACAAGGTATTCTGTGAAGACTCAGATTAGCTTCAATTCCGGTTTTGCCTGAATGACTTATGTGAATACGTGCAAGGTCACGAGAGTGACAAGGCAGAACTGTTCTCCCAAGGGCCCTTACTCTATTGTGTTTTAGTTTAGAGGTCACTGTGATGAGTGGCATATCAGGATATCAGGGTACCTGCATCTGAGAAGTTCAAGGGCCATACAGAGGATTTGAAAGAGGCTGGAAAGAACAGCTGAAGGAGCAAGGAAGCAGAGTAGAGCAAAGAAAGAATATTTGCAGAAAAGACCAAATAACTATGCAGGGAATTTGAATGTTTCCTCAAGGCCAGGAAGATGGCAAAGAGGATCATGCGAAGTGTATTCACAACTCTACTTCCTTCTGGTGTTTTCTGTGAGTAGCAACAACAAAGCAGAGCCCTCAGGGAGTCCCAGAGACTTATAAACAGATCCATTTAAAGTAGACAAAATTCTAATCAGTAGCACATGTCAAGCAGACATAGACCAGAAAGAGGGGACATTCTAACATAAGATCTTGTCCTAGAAAAATCTATCAGCTATCTAGAATTATCTGGTTCTTCTCAATTGTCATGTCGGTTCAACTTCATAGTGAAACATCCAAAGTTTTCATGCATTTCATCTTCTCAAAATTGGCCTAATTTTAAACAAAATCTGATCATAAGGTTGTCTACATGGAAGACGTTTTCTCAAGTATAAGGGATTTTACTTTTCACTATGTCCTTTCAAGAACCACTTTCGTTGATATTTTTAGCCATCTTGCCTGTTCTTAAAGTTGCATGCATTAATTTTCTTTTATTCATCTCATCATCATCTACCACTGTTGAATGGTTAACTGTAAATACAACAGCCTCCGCTCCTTCAGTTCGGATAGGTCTTACACCTTGAACAGAAGCTCCTATGCACGGGACAGCATGATGATTGAAGAACTCCTTGTGCCATCCAAAGAGCAGGTATGCATTCTTCTTGACATATCCTTTGATCATTAAACTTTCATCTGTATGATTTAATCAAGCTTTTTGTCTTATGACAAAAAATACATTTCTGCATGTTTGATTTTGCATTTGTAAAGCTTCTAGTACTGTCCAGTTGAAGAAACAAAATAAGTTGTATTGTAAGCAGAAATATTCCTATCTTCTACAGCGAGTCTCTAAAATTCCACAGAGATGAACTCGGAAAGTCCTAGGGAATGTGGAGTTACCTTTCTTTTCTCTGGGTCAAATCTATTTTAGTTATTTTAAAGGAGAGTTAATAATTATTGGTAGCTGAAGTTGCTGGTATTAACCTCATGAATTTTGTTTGTTTGTTTTTGTTTTTTGTTGTTGTTGTTTTGAGACGGAGTCTCTGTCACCCAGTCTGGAGTGTGGTGGTGCAACCTGACGTCACTGCAAGCCTCCACCTCCCAGGTTCAAGTGATTCTTGTGCCTCAGCCTCCTAAATAGCTGGGACTACAGGTGCACCACCATGCTCAGCTAATTTTTGTATTTTTAGTAGAGACAGGGTTTCACCATGTTGGCCAGGCTGGTCTCAAACTCCTGACCATAAGTGATCCACCCACTTTGGCCTCCCAAAGTGCTGGGATTACAGGTGTGACCATTGCACCCAGCCTGAATGTTGTATTTTGCTAAACGAACTGTGTGTGTGTGAGTGTGTGTGTGTGTGTGTGTGTGTGTGTGTGTGTGTGTGTATATATATATATGTTGGAATTTGTTAGAATTGTTTTTAATAAGTAATTAAAGATGAAACTGGTCATTTTTTGTTCCCTTAGCTTCAAAGTTGCCTTTGATGAGTATCTAAAGATGTGATAGTATTTTGCTTTCTACCAGAATCCCTGCTACGTATATTTGGTGTTTGTGTAATTTTTTTCTTCCAATAATTGTGGTTGAATAGATAGTGAGTTACTTTAAGAAGTTCCAGCAACACAGTCTTCCTGCATGTGGGCTCAGGATGGTCCTGGAATAATTAATACGTAGATAATACCTAGATTTAAGCGTGCACAGTAGTGATTTAATGATAGATGAAACTGTGTGGACAATAAAACTTTTAAAGGAGGCTTATAATATTTAAACAATGTAAATAATTGGTGAAATCATGCTGGGCTTTTTGACTCACTGCACAATGAAAGTGAATTGGAGCAGATGAATAAGTGTTAGTCACTTATAGCCAAGTTAGAGGCTAAGCAATAGGTAGACTTTTGGGACTCCCACACGTCTGCAGATGCTGACGTCTAGACATACACGTGTGTTGTACTTCACAGGGACCTACAATAAATATTTTTTATTACTGTTTACTCTCCGGAACATTCTTAACAAGCAGGCCTTACAGAGGTGAATACAGTGGTTATTCAGTGTTTGGTCAGACAAAAAAACACTTTTAAAAATGATTATAGACTGGGTGTGGTGGCTCACGCCTGTAATCCCAGCACTTTGGGAGGCCAGGGTGGGTGGATCACTTGAGGTCAGGAGTTTGTGACAAGGCTGGCCAACATAGTGAAACCCTATCTCTACTAAAAATATAAAAATTAGCCAGGCGTGGTAATGGTTGCCTATAATCCCAGCAACGCAGGAGGCTGAGGCAGGAGAATTGCTTGAACCTGAGAGGTGGAGGTTGCAATGAGCCAAGATCACGCCATTGCACTACAGCCTGGGTGACAGAGCAAGACTCTGTCTCAAAAAAAAAAAAAAAAAAAAAAAAAATGATTGGCCAGGCGCAGTGGCTCACACCTGTCGTCCCACCACTTTGGGAGGCTGAGGCAGGCAGATCACGAGGTCAGGAGATCGAGACCATCCTGGCCAACATGGTGAAACTCTGTCTCTACTAAAAATACCAAAAATAGCTGGGCCTCATGTTGCACACCTGTAGTCCCAGCTACTTGGGAGGCTGAGGCAGGAGAATTGCTTGAACCGGGGAGATAGAAGTTGCAGTGAGCCGAAATCATGCCACTGCACTCCAGCCTGGTGACAGAGGGAGACTCTGTTTCAAAAAACCAGAAAAACAAAACAAAACAAAATTAAAAAATGATTGTAATGCATGTAAATTTAGTCTGTTCTCATCCTGCTAGTAAAAACATACCCAAGACTGGGTAATTTACAAAGGAAGGAGGTTTAATTGGCTCACAGTTCCTCATGGCTGGAAAGGCCTCACAATCATGGCGGAAGAGCAAGGGACATCTTACATGGTGGTAGGCAAGAAAAGAACTTGTTCAGGAAAACTCCCCTTTATAAACCATCAGATCTTGTGAGACTTATTCAGTATCATGAAAACAGCACAGGAAAGACCTGCCCCCATGATTTAGTTACCTCCCACTAGATCCCTCCCACAACACATGGGGTTAGTGGGAGCTACAATTCAAGATGAGATTTGGGTGGGGACACAGCCAAACCATTTCAGTGCAGTAGCATGTCATGGGTTTTAAGTGGGTGTTAGCACTAGAGAAAGCACTTGTCTGAAATAATGAAGCTAAGTTCTTGGGTGTAAGGTGTTGCCAGGATTGGTTGAAATTTTCTGCTTGGTTGACTGTGGTCATTACTTAGCCTATAATCCTGCTCTTTTTCATGTTCCCAGTTGAAATGAGATGACAGTGGATATATTGATAACACTTATAAGTGTAAAAATGCCTATTACTCTCCACACTCTAAGGAAACCCCACAAAACTTATAAAATCATAGGTGAAAGGAGACTCCCTGGCTATCAGTGACGCTTTACTCATGTAGAAAACATGTGCCAGGGAATTCCTGATCAAACCTAATTGTAGCTTATATTTCTGCATGTTAACTTGTTACGGGTCAAGGGCCTGAGGTTGGAACCACTACCACCACCATCACCATGGCCTTACCATCATCACTGTCACCTCTACCACCACTACCACCACCATTACCACCATGGTTCCTTTACCACCCAACTTCTGCACATCACCATTAAAGTAAAATGCAAGTGTTTGTGGTGCTACGAAATGCAAGTGTTGTGGTGCTTCTAAGGGTTCTCACATCATTGCCTCTTAACTATTACCAAGACCTACTTACTGAGGTCAACTGGAGGAGATTTACTCAGAACTAAGAATTTGTGAACAAAAATATAAGACAAAGATAATTTTTAAGAGGAAACTAATGTTCTTGTAGTCAGCTGTTGCTTCCAACTCAAAAATGCCTCTGTGGACATCATGAACACGTCTGTAGACCCATCGGAGGAAAGGAGGGCACAGGGCACCCTAAAAAAAAAGTCCTTCAAAGTGAACTTTAAGTTGACAATGTAAAAATAGGAAGTTGTTGTCTTTCATGAGCACAGAATAACCGCATAGGGATTCCTTGTGGAGCCCGCATGTTTGATGAGCATATAACACTGCTCAGGGCCACACAAATCCAGGATAAACTGGCAAGAGATTTTGGAGGGGGCAATAAAAGGCATAGACATTTTAGGGACAGTTGGGGGCATTTGAAAATGTCTTGGAGATATATCTGTATATAAGAAGTTGTTGATAATTTTCTCAGCAGTGGTAATTTTAGCATTGATTATTTTTTTAGCTTAACACTGCTAACTTATTGAACCTACTCAGAGAATATTGGGTATGCATGCTGAAGTTTTCAGGAATTAAGCAATCATTAATTCAGCTATTTATTTCCAAATAGTTCAGCCAAAACGCATGTGGATAAAGTTAAAGCAAATATAGCAATGTTAATTGTTGAATCTAGGTGGAAGGTACATGGGTATTCTTTATACAGTTTTTCGACTTTTTTATTTGGGTGAACAATTTCAGAATAATAACTTGGAAGAAGGAGGAAAAATTTTGAAAGAGGTGCATTAACTTTTTAAGTCTCTAGTGTCGAGACTAAAAAAGTTAATGCACCTGTGTCCATTATTACAGATAAATAAAATTATAGGTATAGAGAAGAAGGAAAAGCCTAATTCCTTAAAGGAGAAGCCGTCAAACAGAAGTGTCTATATATACTGTGCAAGACTAATGGGAAGCATTTACTTCAGAAGTGCATTTAAACACTTTAGAATTAAATGACAAAATCATTACTTTCTGTTTTTCATTTCTCTAATTTTGTATTTATAATTTTAAAAATCTAGCTCTTCCACAGTAATAATTTGTTGGAGGGTGGCTCACACCTGTAATCCCAGCACTTTGGGAGGCAGAGGCAGGCGGATCACCTGAGGTCGGGAGTTCGAGACCAGCCTGACCAACATGGTGAACCCCCGTCTCTACTAAAAATACAAAAAATTAGCTGGTGGTAGTGGCAGGCGCCTGTAATGCCGGCTACTCGGGAGGCTGAGGCAGGAGAATCGCTTGAACCTGGGAGGCAGAGGTTGCAGTGAGCCAAGATTATGCCACTGCACTCTAGCCTGGGCGACAAGAGTGAGACTCCATCTCAATCAGTCAATCAATCAATCAATATTTTGTTGGAAAGCATGAAAGAAGTTTTAAATATTTAGAATTCCCAAGGCAATGATATATAATTTACTGTCCAATTTAAAACTACTCTGTCATTGCCCAGTTAAAGTTGCCTTGACAAGTAAAATACGAATAACAATGAAGTCTCTTCGATGAGTAGACCTCACTCATACAAAGTACAATTGCCTCTTTATTATCTGCTGATTAAGCAGTTTGCATATTAACCACAGTTAAAGTGCAGTTGAGACCCAGGGTGATTAGTACAGGCCTGCCACTCCACCTTCTAGGGACCTGTGCTGGCTGAAGGTGCGCCTGGAGGCCAGAGCTGGGGGAGGGGAGCAGGAGAGGTGGAGCTATCCCCGCCCTCTGTTGGGCCTGAGCACTGATTAGTCTGTAACATACTTAATTCCTTCCTGGATAGTAAAGAATAGACTCTTCTATTACAGGTTATTGTGAACTTCCTATTCTTTTACCTTCCCTTTACTTCAGAAGTGCATTTAAATCTGTTAGAATGAAGTGACAGAAAATTATTAGTTTGTGTCTTTCATTCCTCTGACTCTT